ACAACCTACAAAATGATTTCGGGGTAATGCGTCCCCCCTCCCTCCGCCCCTCCATCCCTGCATGCTCTCTGCGGGTTCCCGAGAGCACCGCCGGCTCCCGGCGTGGAGCAGAGGCGACACCCCGTGGTCACCTCTTATGGATGCTGGAAGCAGGCAAGGAGCACAGCGCCTGTGTGAAACTAAGTCTCACTCTGGCCTGGGAAATCATAAAGAGGAATCCAAACAGTCTTTGGAGAAGGACAACAACCTTGGAAGGTGTTGTTTGGATCCTTGTTGTTTCCTTGCAAGAAACGGTCAAGGGGTGTAGTTTCTAATTATCCAATAATGGTGATGCATTGGTTTAATGACCAATGAGAGTTTTACCTCTTGGACCTTCTCAGACCTATCTATAAAAGAAGATCTGGAATAATAAAATTTGCTCTCTTGTGAGAGATTGAACTCTCACTATCTAGACTCAGCTAGATAGTCTATGTCTGCTTTGCCATTCCTAATATAGTGTGACAGCCACTCTGTGAAGGGGAACACGTACACTTCTTACGGCCCCTTGTGCTCCTCTGCAGCCCCAGTCCTCCCTTAGCTGTCCCCAGAGGGCCCTGGTGTCCTTAGGGACCCTGATTCGGGGTGGGGGGATCACTTCTGGGCAATCCAATCTCCCCATCTAAATGCTGTACTCCCAAATCCTCTCACCTTTCCCACCTCCTTTTCCTGCTTGCATCTGCCGTGATGTTGCTAAATGGGGAACGTCATTTACCCCTCTTCTGCATGGTCACTCCTGCTCTGGCCTGGGAGGAGACGGATGTTTGGGGCCATCAGGGTGTCACTGCTTCCACAGGCTGTGGCTTCACTGTCACTGTCACATGCTCCCCAGAGAATCCTCTTTTCTTGCCAGAGGTCTCTGACTGGTCCAATGATGGGATGGGGCTCTGACATCATGCCTCAGTGATAGCCAGTGACAGAGCTCATAGTGACACTATCCAGTGAGTCCCTCTGGTCACCCTTCTCCCCTCTATGTCAACATAGCTTTCCTGAAGTTTGTCTGGCCTTGGCGTGAGGCTCATCATGGCAACTTCCCCTCTGGGACACACCAAACCTGAGGGCACCTGGCCAAGTCCAGGGAAGCCCTGGGGAAGTGGAGAGGTGTTCAGGCTCAGAGAAGGGTGCTATCCTGCACCCTGGGATGCAAAACCAAGTACTCATCTTCCCCACTAAAAGAGTTTTTTGAGGGGATGGCAGCCCTGTGCAATAGCCCTGAAGCCTGGCAGAGGGAGCAACCTCATTATAGGGTGAGCCACTGCTATCCCCCATCTCCTGGGGCTCCCATGGGGCAGTAGCCCATCACCTGTGGGCTGCTCCTGAGCCAGGCAGGATCTGCCAGTCCTCTCCCACATAGCAGGACCACCAGGTTAAAGACTGGACAATGCTTTGACCACTGCCTGCTGTGAAATGCAGGAGCCAGAGCTGCCCCTCAGGACCCTGAGACTCTGTTCCTGGCTCCAGGCAGGGTGATTCTGGACTGGAGTTCTGGAGCTGGGAACCCCCAATGAGGAGCACACCACCCTCTGCATGGCACTTGGCAGTGAGTGACAGATGTGGGACAGCAGACATGTGAGCTTCACACCGTCACTTCAGCAGGGTTTGGGAGGGTTGGGCTGGGCAGCTGGTTCTTGCCCCAGCCTTAAACCCCACATGAGCATCCTGATCCTTTGGTTTGGAGCCTCTGGGATCACCATGGGGATGTCTGCACTGCTTTTAAGGGAAAGGTTTGCAACAGCACTCAGTTTGCACCAGCATTCAGAGAGACCTGGGGAGAGGTTTGCACCAGCATGAAGTGAGCAGATTGCACAAAGTGTCCAGAGAGAGCTTTTTGCCAGATTTCAGTTGTTTGGGAGGTTTGGTATCAAATACAGCAGAAGATACCCTCCAGCATGTGGAGACAGGCTTGCCTTAACATTAGGGAGGGTGATCTGTAGGCAACGGAGGCTTTCTTGGGACAGTGTCTCAGAGGTCAACGGTCTTGAAGGACCAGGTGACATCAAAGAGGAGCCACAGCAACACCTTTCCCATTCCCTCACCACATCCTCCTGCTTCTGCCCAGACCTCAATGCTGCCTCTGTGGAGACATGGCTGGGGCACACTCTGAGCGTGGTGGTCACTCAGTGGGGATCTGTAGCTGTGACGGAGTTGTGAAGCTGGTGCTGCAGTGGTGACAGCACAGCCCTGCAGGACACAGGCCACCATGGCCACCTGTGGCCCTTGTTATCCAGCTTTCTGGGGACAGCAGCCAGCTGTGTCCTGGCAGGGGTGCCAGGCTGCTGCAGGGAGCAACAGGGTAGGCTGGGGCTGGGAGAGCTGTTGTGTCCCATTCCCCAGGTGAAGAGCTGGGTGCAAAAGGGCTGTTGGAGTAAGACCCGTAAAGTTCTGCCCTCTCAGTCTGAATCCTGTAGGGTTTGGGGGTATGGCTCTGGAGTCCTGGAAGTGGGTAACTCCCAGGGTTCTCAAGCCTTTGTTCTGTACTTGCTTGCTCTTCATTTCCAGCAGACGGAGCAATAACACAGTGATTTAACATCATCTCACCATGTGAGGGCTTCCCTGGTCTTCTCTCCACTGGCAGAGCCCACATCATCACCAACCCATGACATGGCATCATCGGGCACAAAACCACTGTCAGCTCCCTTCCTGCAAATGTCCATCCTCTTCCCAAGGTGATGAGTGCCTCTCCCAAGTGACACAGCTAATTTTAAGGCTTATCTGGCTCTCAGAGCCTGAAATGCTTGCTGGATTTTCTCTGTGGATGAGCTGGACACCCCTGCTGTGGTTTGTACGCAATGGTATCCCACTGTGACCGTGGGAGTGAGCTAAAAGGTACAAGTCAAGCTTTTGGCAGCAAGCTCCGTGGCTCCAAAGACTGAACAGACGCTACCAAGGCAGCATCCCCCCTCCTAATTCCCTTCCAGATCCTCTTCTCAAATCCCATTCCCCTCCCAGCGGCAGCAAGGGCACTTTGCAAGGAAAGTGCCCCCAGGCTGGTGAGTCCCCTTTACTAGCAGCCTAGTTCCCACAGGCCATGCGCTGCCAGCAATAGCTGCAGCTTTTCCTAGGAGCTCTGTGGATGTGATTAGCTGGAGCATTCCACCCATGGGGATCACTCTCCTGGGGAACCTTGGTGTCTCTGTGGGGTGATTTCATTGCAGACAGCCTGCTCCCAGCATCCAGCTGTCTCCAGTGCTCAGAGCTCTGTTCTCATCATCCGGTGTCTCTGAAGGCAGGGAGCACACTCATCCCAGTGAAGAGGTGTCCCTGTCACTGCAGTGGTTGGGGTTCCATGGTCAGCCAGGCACTCTCCTTACTGTCTGCTTTCCTGGGAAGATGTGCAGCATCCCGGGTTTGCTGAGTCCTGGGTGCACATGCTGGCTGCCCCCTGTTGCTGCTGTGGGATACTCAGGGGACAGAAGGCCAAGCTTATCTGATAGGACAGTGACCTGAGTCTGGGGATTTGAAACAATAGGAAGCTGTGGGTCCCCAGAAATGCCTGCAGAGAAGCCACAAGACCTGTAAGCACACCAGACTGAGGCTAGCTGGACACAGCTGTTTAATGAATGTAACTCAATACAGATAGGGAGTTGCAACCCATGCACCCACGGCCGCCTCCTCGCCATGGCTCTGGCCACATCTTGGACCTGGCATCCAAAATATCCCCATTGACGCTCTGGCCACATCTCGGACCTGGCATCCAAAATATCCCCATTGGCCTGGCACGCCAGGGTGGTAGAGGAAGATGTCGTGGCACTGGTGCGCCTCCTGGTCTTGCAGTAGGGGAGACCCTGGAGAGGGGAACTGTGCCCTGGCTGGGGGAAGGGGGTTGACTGGGATGATGCCCACAGGGCACTGGGGATGAAGATGAGGGAGTGACCAGGTGGCTGCAAGTGCAGCCCTGGTCTGTGTACACCTCGGGGCCTCCTGGCTGACCCATGGCAAGCCAGGCAGGGAGAGGCTGAGGGTGCTGCAGGAAAGGGATTAGAGGGGCAGGAGCAGCTGCTGGGGCTGCCATGGGACCTGGCAAGTTGGAATCCCAACTCCTGGTGTTTTTGGGGCAAGGTTTCTGGGCTTCTTGCTCCTTCATCTGTGGGCTGAGTGCATCTATCTACCATAGGGCTGCCAACAGGCAACGCTTCATCCCTGCAGCTGACACCTGGGGGCCACTGGGCTCTGCCTCCTCCTCCTTACCACAAGCACTAATGCTCCCAGTGAGGCAAGGCTGCCCACTTGATGTGATGGGTAGAGAGGGAGACTGAACAGGGCTGGTGTGGGACCGGAACGGCAAGCAAATGAAAAGCATCCCTTGGAACTAGGGGTACAGGAGGGGATGAGGAATGCAGGGGAGTGCTGCTGGCAAGATCAGATGCTTGGAGAGGAGGGGTTCCCCTACATCTGACCTTGCCTTCCCATCCATCTGATGCATTCTGTTACCAGTGCTCCTTCCTACACCATCACTGTTGGCATTAAATAGTTGGTCACCAGCAGGGAAGGGTTGAGCCATGCTAGGGAATGGTCTCCCAGACACAGCCATGAGTTGTGCATGCAAGAATGGATCTACTGGGCTCCAACCCCTGTTGGAGTAGGGCAGGGATGTGAAAGACCCCAAAAGGAGTCAGCCACATCCCCTGAGGATCCACCATGCTGATGAGCTGAGACGATGCTTGCTGCAGACCTGTGGGTGCTGCCTGTGTCACGCTGAGGCTCAGCTGTGCTGTCCCATGGCGCTGTGGGAGGCTGGGGGCACATGGGTGGTCTGGGTTCTGCTGTCACCCCACAACTACGCAGCGCAGACTCTGCTCTGTCTGCAGATGCCTGGGTGCTGTGGGGACAGGGATCATGGTGGCAGCATGTTCCCTGCCCCTTGTGCCCCATGGTGACCCTGGGCACAGTGGGACACCCTTCCCCACCGTGGTCCCTGCAGGGCTCCGAGGACAGTGGGGACACGCCCTGCCCCGCCCTGCTTCCCACACCAATCAGAGACCCGAGAGTCGCTCCTGCTCTCTCAGCCAATTAGAGCCTGGCAAACATCCTCTTCACAACCAATCCAAGGGGGAGGCGGGGCAGAGGACAGCCATGGCCACTTCACCTCCAGCCAATCAGCACTCAGCTGTGCCCGTGGGGGAGGGTGGGGCAGGTCACCATGGCGGGCGTGGCACCACGCCCTCGAGGCGCGGCCGGGTCTAGGCGAGGGGCTGCAGGTGCAGGGCTGCGCTGTTGGGGCGTGCGGCCAGGATGTAGGCAACGTTCTCCCGCAGGAATCCGGGCCAGTCAATGCTCCTGTGGGCAGATGTGGGGTCACTGGACACAGCACTGTGTCTCCCAGAGTCTCCCCCCAAAATGGGGGTGTCTACCACCTCCCTAACCATCCCTGCTTTACCTGGTCTCCTCCTGCTTTGCGGCTGGCAGGATCTTCTCTGGGCTCTTGCCGTTCCTGCTGCTGGCGGGGCTGCCTTCTGATATGGGTCCCACATGGCTGATGCTGTGGCAGGAAGGAGGATGCTCTTCATCCCCGCTCCTCCCCGCTCCTTGTACCCCAAATGGTGGTGGTGGGGGAAGAGGGTGCACAGGGCTGAGGGGCCATGGAGGAGTAGGTGGCAGGAAGGGGGGGCAGCCATTTGTGTGCTGAGCCCCTTTGGTAGGTGTTGGGACTGTGCTGGGAGCTCTGGCTGGGATATCACCCCTACACCGAGGTGGATACCCCCTCACCTGACATTGCAGGACAGCATCTCCTTTTGGTGCTTGCGGAACCAGGTGTGCCGGGCCTGACGGCACTCAGCCTCCCCAATGAAGCCGTCATTGTCCAGGTCCAGGGCCAGGAAAGCTGTCCGTGCTCGCTCCCGCTCCTTGGGTGTCAGCAACCGCAGAAGGGCATTCTAGGAGGTCAGAGAAGCAAAGGTGGAGGATTCATCTCATGGGAACCTCCCTCCTTATATTCCCAAAGCTGTAGGGGTCTCCACCCTGAGTGCCATGGCCAGGGGTGCTGGCCATGGGAGTCAGTCCCAGGTGCCACAGCCATGGGCATCAGCTGTAGGGGCCAGCTTTGGGTGCCATGACCATGGGTGCTAGTCATGGGCACTGACCTTGGGTGCTGTGGCTGTGGGTGCTGGACCCAGGTGCCACTGCCACCACTGCTGGCTGTAGTAGCCAGCCCTGGATGCCGCAACCATACCTGCGGCCGTATTTTCTGCAGCAGCTGGATGGACTCATGGGAGAGGAAGTCCTGCCACTCGATGTGCCCTTTCTTGTCGGGGTCCAGGGCATTGAACTGCAGGGCTGCCTGCTCCTCCTGTGCCTCGGGCATGGTCCGCTCGAACTGCTGCTTGTGCACTTGGTGTTTGTAGTGCAGGAAGTCATCCAGGGTCAGGCAGCTCTCTGCAGGGGACAGATTGGCTGTGCTGTGCCCAGGAAGGAGGGGGGATCCCCCTCCCCAGCTGCTTCCTGCAGCCATCTGGGACCCGCCGCATGGAGGGTACACACCTGGAATGATCTTGCAGTTCCTCAGGGTCTCCATCAGGCTGTACATCTCTTCCTCTGTCAGCAACAGATTGAGGTTGTCCTGGGGTGGGAGGCAGAGAGGAGCCATGAGACAAAGACATGGGGTGGAGGGAGCACATCTCTGCATGGCAGCACCAGGATCTCTTGAGGGGACAATCAGAGAGATGCTGTGATCCCAAGGGACACAGTGGGATGCACTGGGATAGCTCCACACCCCCATGCTTTGCCCATTCTAGCTCTGCTACTGCACATCTCTGCTGCTACATTCAGCATCTCATGTGCCCATGGTGTCACATTCACATCCCCCAGCAAGGTCCTGGGGAGCTGGCTGCAGGGGTGGGGAGGTGGCAAAGGGCCACTGTCCCCTGTTTCTGACGATCCCATCAGGCCAAGGTGAGTGGTGGGACCTGGAGGGCAGCACATCCCCCATTGCCCCACACCAGGCTGTGAGGTAGAACCCTGCTCATGTCCATGTGGGGCACAGTTCCCTGGGGAGTACCCACCACCCAGCAGCAGCCTGGTGTCCCCACTCCGGGCACTCACGCAGTAGTAGCAGCTCCAGCCGGTCTCGGTGTGCGCCGTCTCTGTCACCTCCACGGCGCTGTCCTTCTGCAGGTATCCCATGCGGCGCAGGCAGCCGTCGTGGTACACCCGGTGGCAGATGCGGCAGGGGAAGAGGCTCTCGGCTGTCCACACCTCACAGATCTCACACATCTCATCATTCAGGATCTGGGGAGGGATGGGCAGATGCTCAGCAGAGCAGTGTGGGCAGGGGCTTGGCTTCTCAATCTGGGCAGTGCTTTGCAGGTGGGGGTGGATGCTGAGGGGCAGAGAGGAGGGAAGATGGGAATGTGTGGGGCTGGCATGGGAAGAGGGCGTTGTAAGGGACATGGCTGGTCAAGTTAGAGGATGGGGGTGTGTTTTTGGGGATGAATGGTGGGTGGTGCTGCAGAGTTGTAGGTTCTCTGCAGTGTGGAGTGTGTGGGTGGATGGACTGTAGGGCAGAACATTGTCTGGCCTTTAGGGTTCTAAGTGTCCATGGATAAGATGTAAGGTTTTCCACACATTTCCATTTCCACTTCTAAGGAGATACTAACCTGGGCATATTATCTAGGTACCCTGAGTAATTTAGGCAGTGTCCAGTTAGACACTGGACACTGCCCCAGGGCAGTGGTCACAACACAAAGCCTGGACAATACTCTCAGGCACGTGGTGTGATTCTTGGGGTATCTGTGCATGGTCAGGAGCTGGACTTCACTAATCCTTGTGGATCCCTTCCAACTCAGGATGTTCTATGTCTTTACAGTGCTATATAAGGCTGTAGGTGGGCTGGGGTGTAGGCTTGTTGGGTGGGTGGCTGTATGGGTAAGGGTGTGGATGGGTAGGTTGTAGGATGGAGAGAACGGGTGGATAAGCTGTTGGGTTGTAGATGAGCAGGGATGTAGGGGTTGCAGGTATGGAGGGATGGCTTGGGTTGCATGCTGGTTGACTGTAGGTGGACTAACATGTAGGTCAAATCGTCCTCTCTTCCCCAGACCAAGAGCTGTCTGTGCCCAGCAGTGACTTCTCCTTTTCAAGACACTCCAGGGTCCCTCTAGGGCATGTCTGAACAGTTGCACCTCCCTCCCAGTATGGCACCTCCACCTGCCCAGCCTGGCCACTGGCAACCTACCCCACTGAGCCACCTCCATAGGGCTTTGCGAGACTATCGCCGCCTGGCAAATACTCAAGTGCTTGCACAGCCCTCTGCACCTCCAGCCCTGTCCCCATCCCTCCACACTGTCTCTGTGGTTCCATCAGCTCACCTGCTCCCTCTGCTCCAGGCTGATGTCCGGGGGCTCATCATCGTGGAGCTCCCTCTTGGGCCGGATGAAGGCTGGTGGTGTGAACCTGTTGGCCCGGTCAAACTCCTCTGGCTCCACGCCCCGGCCATCCCGCAGCCGCTCCCAGGCTGCCTTGCTGGCACTGCTCTCCTCCGGCTGGGAAGGTCCTGCCAGCGCGTCCTCCTCTCCCTCCTGCACCTCCTGCTCCAGCGTCCCCTGGCGTGCGGTCCCCGCCTCCGCCCGACGCCGTGTCGATGGCTGCTCCCGCAGCCCATCCTTGAAGGCTGACACGGCCAAGCTGACCTTCTGCACCCTCTCCACCGTCTGCCTCCTGGACATCAGCACCCCCATGGCTCTGTGGTGGGAAGGAAGGTGCTATGTCCCTGACCCCCAAAAGGGTGTCCCGGTGGTTTTCCCCCAGCTGAGGAGCAGCAGGAATTTTCCCCCAGCTGCATGAGGAGCAGCTCAAGGCAGGGAGAAATGGAGTCTTTGTGACAAACTGACCCCGGGGTCATGATGGTGGCTGTGGGGAGATGGATTCCTGTCCGTGGAGGGTCTGAGTGGGTGGGGGAATGAGACAGAAGGCAGGGAGATGTTTTGGGGGTGCCTCCCCACTCTTGCTCTATCAACTCCAGCTCAACAAGAAACACATCCATCCCCTTCCCATGCCAGATCAGTAAAACCCAGAGGGACTAGGACCAGCTGTAACCCTTCTCCTTGTGTGCATCTCCTTTCTGCCTTGAAGACAGCCTCTGTAGTCAGTCAAGGGTGAAAGATGTCCTCCCTGCATCTCTGCCCAGGACTAGGTGACAGCTGAACCCTCACCTTCTTTAAATTCCTCTTCACTCAGCTGCCTTTCTTGCACTCACCTGCTTGTGTGTGTGTGTCATCTGTGATCATTTGGCACCCTGCATCCTGCAAGGAGCCATGTGGGGAGGCTGGGCCAGCCATAGGAGGAGTGTGAGGGTACAAGAGGGAAGTGGGGCAATGTATGGGATGGGGGGCACATGGGTGCCAAGAAGGATGCTTGGCTTCAGTACCAAGGGAAGATCACTTTAGAATAAAGTGGGGAGGCCAAGAACAGCAGTAATAACAAGCTGGACTCTGTCTCACTGGGTGTCAGCTGAAGCTGAGGAGAAGCAGAATTTGGCCTCCAGCATTGTGGGGCACAGGACCACCCCACATGGGTCCGAGGGCTTCCCTCGTGCCATGCTGGGGTTGCACTGTGGAAGACACTGCCCAGAGCAGTGGTGGAATCACCATGTCTGACAGTGTTTAAAAACAGCGTAGACATGGCACTTAGGGATGTGGTTTACTGGTGGCCTTAGCAATGTTGGGTTAATGGTTGGAGTCAATGATCTTAGAGGTCTTTTCCAGCCTTAATTATTCTCTAATTCTGTGCTGCAGCAAAGAGGCACTTCCAGCTGGTGCCCAGGGACCAGGAGGCAAAGCAGGGAGATTGGAGCAACAATCTCCCGCCCCGCCAGCCTTGGCAGGGAAGTCCCCAGGTAGCAGGATAATTAGCAGCACGCGTGCACACCGCTGGGATCTCACTGCCGGCGGGAGGACTCGACACCGTGGGCACTGCTGTGGCAGGGAGCCTGGTCAGGGTAATTACAGGTACCCCGCAGCAGCAGGGCCGAGCGGAGCGGAGCAGAGCATGCTGGCAGGCGGCAAACACCACTGCGTGCACACGCATGTGATTTCCCAGCCTCTCCCCACCACCGCGGGACCATCTGCCTGCAGATTCCCACGCGCTCAGCCGGGTATGCAACACGTGTGGGCCCTGTCCTGCGTGTGAGGGTCCCAGCAGCGTGCGCGTGTGTGGGCTGGGGTATTTGCACCTGTTGGCCGCAGTGCCTGGCTCAGAGCTGGTGCCCGGCATTCTTCAGCTCCTGGGGCTTTGCAAAGGTGGGAGCGGGGCAGAGCTGGAGGCACGCGTCCAAGCCACAGCAACAGCATCTCTGCGGCTGTGCCAGTGGGAAGGAAAACACCTGGGTGTTTCTACCTCCTCGCCGTGCCACCACCCTCTGCCTGGCTGGCTCAGGATCACGTCTGCCGTGGTCAGGATCAGCTCTGCTGCTGGGCAGCATTGCAGCTCTGCCTGCGAGCGAGAGAGTCGGAGAAGTCACAGGGAAATCCCGCCCAAGATCTGCCTTTGTAGGTCCCTGCACCACCGAGCCTTGGCCAGATCCAGGCCTACTCCTGCCCAAGGTATGGGTAGAAGCAGGGAGGAGAGGGTCCAGAGGGGATAGGCTTTCAGAGAAGAGTGAAAAGAGGTGTGTGGCCCACAGCACGCCAGTCTCCCTGTTACCCACACTGGTGTTCCTCACCCCAGCGTGCTGGCAGCTTCTCCCCACAGTGCTGCTGAGCTCTGGGTGCCCCAACCCCACCCACCCTGCAGTGCCTTGGGGCAGCCCAGGCAATAGAAGGGTGGCTGGTGTGTGGACTTGCCGTATTCCCCCCCAAATATGGCTCCCCTGTGTGTTCATGTCATTGTCACCCACCTGCACTGTGCTGCTGCTGCTGCAAGATCCCAGCCCACCTCTGTTTCCCGTCCTCTCCCAAGCCTACCCTGAGTGCCTTCTGCCACTGTCTACTGTGTGCCTGGGGCCTGGACAGTGTCACTTCTATCACGACTTGTGTCTATTCTCAGCTCTGCTGGCCTCCCTGCCCGCCCTAGTGCTGCACACCTGGACCCCGCCTGCACATCCAGGGCTGAACGGCTTCATCCTGAGCTCAGTCTCCAGACTCCACTGCCTTTCCACAGGCCCCGTTGCTCCCCAGATACCCCAAACTTGCTCTACACTCTCCAGACCGCTTTTTGCCCGTGCCCCATGCCTTGCCTGGCATTGTGGGATGGGACTTCACCCACACATAGAACCTGGGATGACTTGGGGTCCTGACAGACTTTGGGAGCCCTCCTACTCCTGGGGAGAGAGGACCAGGGGCAGTCTTGCCTCATAGCAGCCCAGACACCCGAGCATCCCCTGTGTCCCCACATGTCCTTGGGGGAAGGTGTCTCCAGTGCTATTTGTGTCCACCCCCAAGGCATACAGAACCACCACCTGTCTCATTGTGACCTAAGAGGTGCGGGGGCCTCGACCTTGCTGCCAGGTAGCACTGCGGGGCTATTTTTAGGTCGCCCCCACAGAGGAGCTAAATCTGGGCACAGGCAGGAGCTGCCTGCAAACACCCAGCTCCACCAAGCCCTGCCAGCACTGGGGGCTGTCACAGTGGGTGGTGGGAAACTTCCCAACCCCTTCCCTTCCCTTGCCCCCAGACCTCTGCACCCCTGCCCTGATCCTTGGGCAGCACCTGTTCCCCTCACTCTTCTCCTCCGGATTTGCTCCTTGCAGCTTCATTCCTGCAGCAAAACACTGAGCCAGAAAACACTTCATCCTCTTAGTACCCATGGACACATCTTTCCCAGCTTCACACTCCTCTCTGTGTGGCAGAAACTGAGGCATGGAGGCAAGGCTGGTGTAGCTGGAGTGAGGATTAAGCCTGTGTTAGGTGGGAATGGGGAGAGAGCTGGTGGCTAGCATGGAGGCACCCCAGGAGAAGGAAACAGGGCAGAGCATCTGGATGCAAACAGAGCCAGTGGTCCCTGCATGGCTGCAAAATCTCTCTGCCATGGCAGAGCACACGTGGCTTGTGCTGGGGTTACGGGGTGCCAGGTTAGTGGTGGGTGTGGGGTGGCGGGTGACACACAGGTGGGCGTAGCGTGGCGCAGCTGGGGCGGTGTGGTGGCTGGGAGTGCAGGATGGATGCGTCGGGAGCAGCATGGGGGCTGTGTGTTTGTTAGGATTGGGTGTGTTATAGGGTGGAAGAGGTGCGAGGGGTGGATGTGTTTTGGGGTGGATGTGCTACGGCGTGGCTGGCAGTGCAGGGTGGGTGTTACGGCCCACAGAGGGTGGTGCAGAGGCTGTGGGCATGGGGTGGGTGGTGGTGTTGGGTGCGGGGATGTTGCAGCAGCTGTGGGAGTGGGGTGGTCTCTGTGGCAGCTGGGGGTGTGGGATGGGTGCTTCTCAGGGGCCGGGTGCAGGGTGAGCTGTTGTGGTGTGAAGTGGTGGCCTGGGGAGATGGGGGCGTGGAGCCACAGGGTCTGTAGCACTGACTGTCACCTACCCCACAGTGTGTCCTCGGTGAAAGGCCCTGCCAGCAAATGAAGGGTCAGCAGATGCTTGGACCCTTGAGCAGGGTCCACAGCACCCCCTGTCAAGGGGATGCATCAGGGGTGTGCAGAACCCCCTCAGGTGCCAGGAGCAGGCTCCCAGATCAGGGGTAAGGATGCGCCTGGTCCCCACAGGCTGCCAGGGGGCCAGGCCTCCTCCCTGCCCTCACCACAGGCTGCAGGGTCTTTTGTCTGGCAGTGCTGTGCCTTACTTCGAGCAGCATTAGGGACCCTGGGGGCAGAGGGGTGAGGTACCAACAGGCAGGAGAACCCTAGGACCTCAGAGGCTATGGCAGCCTGGTCCCAGGGCTCTGGCTGAAGGGCATGAAGCAGGGCTGGGAGGAGCTGCCATGGCTCTGCCATGGCTCTGGCACAGCTCTGCACACCCTGCCAGCGGTGAGGGGGACCAGGCTGCAAAGGCAGCAGGCTCTGCTCAGGGGGCATAGCATTCCACCTCCTTGAGCTGGCTGCAGATGGCCACGGGGGTCTGGCAGCATCCCCTTGTCCCCTCTCCCGGGCAGACAGCACATGCTGGAACTGTGGCACTGCTGGGACTGCTGCTGCGAGGTGATCCATTTGCCATGGGGCAGGGAGATCTGTGGCTGATGGTACCCTCCCACCCTCTGCAGGGCTGTGGGAGTCCAGTGGGGATGTTGGCCAGGGGGGAGGGGGCTGTGTCCCAGTCTTGGGGACACCAAGGTGGTGGCTGTTCTCCCTGCTGGATCAGGTTGCCCGTCCTGCCGCGCTATGACAGATTTTATAGGTGTGTCGCACTCTTTCATCCCAGAGGGGAATGAAAATGCCGTGACAGCAGAGTCCCTTCCTCTGCAGCAGACACAGCTTCTGCCCAGCTCTGCACTTCTCCTTCACTTCTCCCTCCCCAGCCCCTCTCCCCAGTACCCACAGAGGACCCCAGTGCCTGGACAGGACCCTCTCACCCCATCCTCATCCCCACTCCCAGGCATCCCATCCCAGGAGCTCTCATCACTCTCCCCGGCAGCAGGATCCCGGGGACACCCACCGAAGGGTGACACAATGTGTGGACAGCCCAAGCTACGCACCCAGCAAAGCACCCACAATGGCAAAAATACCCCACTTACCAGGATCGGGGTTGGTCTGGGAACACGAGCCCTAGACAGCAGTCCACACGATGTCCATTGCCGCTGCTTCTGGCCACGAGCCCCTCTCCAGCCGCGGGTGCTCACCGCATGCCGTGCCCCGCGTGCAAACCCCAGTCAGGGGATGGAGCGGCGAGGGTGGTACCCAGGAAGCCAGAGCCCTGCACTTGCTGCTGGAGGATGCAGGAGGCAGGAGATGCTGGGAGCGGATGCCTGTGTCTAGCGCAAGCACACACACACAC